TGGTACATATACCAGCTCGTCGGTAGGGTTTCCTTCCAGTAGCAGAGCTGGTATAGAAACCAGCTCGTCGGAAGTATTCCCTTCCGACAAGCCGGTGTACATGCTCGTTGGAAGGGTTTCCTTCCAACGAGGGTATAGAAACCAGCTCGCCGGGAGGAACCCCTCCCAACGAGCTGGTACATATACCAGCTTGTCAGGAGGGGTTTCTCCTGGCGGTGTGACCTCGGCCTCTTTAGGCCGAGGGGATTTGAAAAAAAAATGGAATGAAATGAAAAAAAAAAAACAAAGGGGCCGTCCCATAGTGCCTGGGTCCTATGGGACGGTGGCAAATCCTTGGCGTGCAGGCCTGCACGCCGGTCTACACTCTGTAGATTGGCGTGCGGGCCCGCACACCAATTTTCTTTGGCGTGCAGGCGTGCATGCCAATCCCCACCTGGCGTGTGGTTTGGCGTGCGCCAGGGGGGGTGGCGTGCGTTTATCAAGCCCCCCTCTGCCTTTACTGTGTACTACACTAAACAAGACCACCAATCTTAGATTGGCAGCTTTTAATTAGTGATAGTGGAGTGTATCAAAAGATACTCTGTTGTCAACAGGTGGACAGGTGCAAAAATGGGTTGTTGTTATGTGTAAAGATGCTGTAATAATTGTATGTAAGGGTTGTTATAATTGTAAAACCAAAATATTGGGGAACAAATAATATTATGGAATGAGCAGTGATTTGCCTGTTATGTGGGGAATTGAATGCAGGAAGTCTGCTGGGGAGAAATTCCAACTGGGAGGAAGGGCCTCCTTATATAGACAACAATGAGGTATTTTGGCTCCAGGGGAGCCAGGAATGAGGGATTTTGGCTGGTTGTACAGCCTTACATGAGGGAATTTGGCCAAGATGGAAGAATACATGAGGGGTTTTGGCTGGTGGTACAGCCTACAGGATGTGATTTGAGTGGTTTCCGTCGGATTGACAAGCTGTGCAACAGTTGCTATGCAACCTAGCAACCTGCAGGCTGTGTTCTGTAAGCCGCATGATGTCATCCTGTATTTTGAGGCTGTACGCATTGCATCACAGGTTGCCAAGGTAACCTGTATGCTGTGCCTGCATACTTCCATTGTACTTGCTTGAGATGTACAAATGCCAGTTCAAATGGCCCAGAGGGGTGAAATGCGTACCTGATATACTTGTAACATGTAAGGGTGCTTGACCCCCCTACCTGTGAGTAAAAGAGGGTCGTAACATGCAACACAGGGGGGTTACATGTGTCCAAGCCTGCTCCTCTAGGGTAATTTTGGACCCTGGAATCCCTTCCTGGAGCCATATTTGGTGTAATATTA